GCGAGACGCGTATGGAGCGGCAGCGCTGGGGCGAGAGCAAGCGCGATGAAGAAGCCTGAAGAGGAGAAGAGGAAATGAGAACGCACTGTTCAAGAAACCCCGGTCCGACGCCTTATATGAGGTCACTTCCGAGTGGTTGACTGGTAGGCCCGGACAATCCTGTCAAATCCCGTAACAATCGCGCGCGCGCGATACGTGGCAAAAAAGGTGGCACGGAGATCGAGGCGGCTCCGCCCTATCCCATCCGATTATTGCGGCCTCCCCCGTCCCGCGCGCTTCCCAAAATTCGAATCCCGCGAAATCTGCGGGCAGCAGAACAACTTGTCAGACGGAAGATCTCCTCCACACCGTCACTCGGAGCTTTTCAAGTAAAGAAACTCACTCGACAAAAAACTAAGAATGGATCAAGGCGACTGAAAAGGAAGTTGTTGTCATCACTCAGGTTCATTGATCCGAAACAAGATATGCTCATGGCATGAAAAATGAGTCGGAGAAGTTCTCAACTCCTTCCCCACTCAAACCTCGATCCATTCGGGGGCTAATGATGAAGCTATGTACCTAGGGTAGGGTCATGGACCTGTCCTAACTGCCCTACCCAAGGACATCTCTAGAATAAATCACCTTTCAATCGACTTGGAGGTGTTCCACTCGACAGACTCGAAGACACTCGACCAAGAAGCAATCACTCGACCAAGATCCAACCACTCGACGGCCAGGAGACCTAAAGTCACTCCGCACGCTAACGGTCAGTCATTAAGTAGCTTTTATGGTCATCATAGCACTTTATTAGGGGGCGTTATCAGTAACGCCCGACCTTAATGTATTTGAAACCCTACATAACTGAGGGCCGGAGGGGTCTGGCGAACTCTATATAAGCCACCCCCCTCAGTGTAAAAGGTTCGCACCCCTGTAATTCATACACACATAATCCAGTCGACCGTCTCCGGGCTCCGAGACGTAGGGCTATTACTTCCTCCGAGAAGGGCCTGAACTCGTAAACCTCGTGTGCTTACAACTACTCCATAGCTAAGATCTTGCCTCTTCATACCTACCCTCCTACATTACTGTCAGACTTAGAACCACGACAACTCTCGCGCAAGCAAAACTGTGCCTCTCGCAAAAGCAAAACCGTGACTCTCGTTGATGAAAAAAAAAAGAAAGTGCATTTTTCGCGTAAAAAAATATTTAAAAAAATTGGTCAAAAAGCTAAGGAAGACCGGTGGAAAATCAAAACGTCGAAAAAACCGAAAAAAAACCGTTTAAATAGCTGAAAACGCATGCAGAAAAATAAGAAAAATAAAATCCGGAGGAGCGCCTAGACCGTGACACCTGGCAAATGGCTGAGAGCGCGCCAAGTGGCGCTGATCGTTCCGAGGCTCCCGAAGGAGCGCTCGTTAACTAGTGGCCCCTTGGGGCGTCCGACTCGCTAAAGAGCGCAAGTGTCTGGGCCAGCCCACCCGCGCGGGCAACACCAGCCTGTTTCTCGGTTTTGCTTTGTTTTCATGTTTTCTCTTTTTCTCTTTTTACTTTTATTTCTACTTTAAAATATTCTAAATATAAATATTACAAAAACACATTTTCAATAATGTTGAATAAGTATTAAAAAATGTTGAGCAAGAATTTAAAAACTGTTGAATAGGTATCTGAAAAATGTTGAGTAGGTATTTGAAAAATGTTTAATAAGTATGAAAAATGTTAAATAAGTATTAAAAATGTTCAATAAGTATTTGAAAAATATTGAATAGGTGTTAAAAAATGTTGAATGAGTATATGAAAAATGTTGAACAAGTATTTAAAATATTGAAAAAATAGAAAAACGATGAACGAGTATTTGCAAAAATTGAATACGTACTAAAATATTGAACAAGCATTTGAAAACAAAATTGAATAAGTATTACAAAATGTTGAACAAGAATTTCAAAAATGTTGAACAAATATTTGACAAATGTTGAATAAGTATTAAAATTTTGAAGAAGTATTTGAAAAATATTGAATTGGTATTAAAAAATGTTGAACGAGTATTTAAAATATTGAAGCAAGAATTTGAAAAATGTTCAACAAGTATTTGAAAATATTCTATAAGTATTGAAAATATTGAACAAGTATTTGAGAAAATGTTGAATAGGTATTAAAAATGTTGAACAAGTATTTAAAAATGTTGAACAAGAATTAGGGAAATGTTGAACAAGTATTTCAAAATGTTGAATAAGTATCAAAAATATTGAACAAGTATTTAAAAAATGTTGAACGAGTATACAAAAAATGTTTAACAAGTATTTGGAAATGCTAAATAAGTATTAAAAATATGGAACAAGTATTTCAAAAATGTTGAATAACTATTAAAATGATGAACAATAATTTGAAAAATGTTGAAATAGCGTTGGGACAACGTTGAACGTGTATCCAAAAATTGTTGATCACTTGTTACCAAAAATGTTTTTGACATGTACGAAAATGTAGAATGAAAATGAAAAGGAACACAAGAAAACACAAAAGAAAAACAAAAAAAATGGAGAATAAAAAAGGAAATAAAACAAAAAATGGAGAAAAAAAGAAAATGAAAAAGAATGAAACAAATCTGAGAAGAAAGGAAAAAGAATGGAAAAACGGAGAAGAAAAAAGGAAAACAAAAAAACGTAAAAAAGATGATCACGTTTTCATAAAAAATGTCTAAAAATTTCAAAAAAATCATGATTTGGGAAATTGGTCACAATTTCAAAACAAAATTGTATCGTAAAAAATTGTATCATAAGAAATTGATTGGGTGTTCTCAAAATAAAAACTTGTGACCTACACTTCTAGGAATAACCGGAAAATAAGGAACGTAATTGACTGCAAAAATAGGTGGAGATGTAGAGGGGTTCACCGTGGGGAGTCTGGTGTGGTCGTACGGGCTTGATTGTGTATGAAGGCGACGGATTTCAGCTATGATGACCGGCGACCGAAGGGGAGGTAGCTGAGCGATTCGCAATCGAGGAGGTATCCTGTCTCGCGTGTGACGAAGTCGATTTCGGTGGATCTCGGGTGGGCCATCCTAAGCTGGTAGTCTAGAGATGATGGTAATAATGACATGAGGTTTTACACAGGTTCGGACTCTCTCGAATAGATAATACTATGTGTCATGCTTTTGTGTTTGTATTGATTTGAGATGGTGTATAAAGTACAAGTGATTTACCACGAGATTGTCTATTGTCATCTACGAGCCCTACCTCTTAGTTTATATAGATATCAAAGGATCTAGACTTACAAATAAGTCGGCTACGTATATGATAATCGTGTTGTAGATGATTTCTAAGTCCTGGAGTATGCGCCAAGTATTCGAGAATATTCGTTCTTTGTGCCATGGGCCTTCATGGAGATGGCCTACTAGTGAACCGCCATGGGGGTCCTCAGCCCAGGCCACCTGGGGAGACGGCGTGGTGAGTACCTTCTGATCCAGGACACCATCAGCATGCGCCGGTGAAGAGGTGAAGTCTAGGCCGAGGGTTTGAGTTGACATGGTTATGCCTCATGTGGTGGCCGTTGGACATGTTGGCGATGAAGGCGTGCTCTCGCGTGATCTCGGGTCACTCCCCGATGGCTCGCTACCTAAGGCCGCTCCCCATGGCGCGACCATGGCAGGTAGCGTGAAGCAGGTCAAGGTCAGCAGACCGACCGTAGCGACCGACTAGAGGTTGTGGTTGTGTCTGGGGGGGAGGGGGGGACGAAGGCGCAGTGGCTAGATCGGTGTGGGGTGCGCGGGATCCGAACGGGTCGACGCCTCGGTGAACACAGCAATGCATGGGGGAGGGGGGTCCTGCTGTAGCGCCCTCCCCAGTCTGACGACATTGGGAAGACATGGCAGGTTGGTTGGCGTCCTCCTTGCCTCTTAGGCTACTGCACCACATGGGCGTAGTTGGTCAAAAAAACCGAAGATTTTTTATATAAATATTGACACGTGGGCCTAGATTTTGATTGCTAATGGCGGGTGGGCCACCTTGTCATAATCGCCATGATTTACGACTGAACCAGCAACTAACATTATGTGGTAGCGATTTGAGACAGATTACCCCAAAAAATGGTAGCTTCTTGTTAGGTGTTGGTAATGGTGTGTGTAGTTTTTTTCAGAATAAATGCCTCGGAAGTAGTTGTTTTATGCTAATTAATCGTCTTCTTAGGGGCGTTGGTTTGGTAAGACTACGACCTTGATGACTTCTTATGTCTTATCCATGATCAACAACAACATCACCGACTAAAATGACAGAGAGATGAAGACGGTTGACCCAGGGACTTCAATATAACTTATTTTTATTTTCCATGGTTGTTCGTATACCTAGTCATCAGTCGGGCTGGGCCTACCAAAGCCCGATGCAAAAAACCCAAGTCCGAGCCCGGCCCGGCCGTCGGGCCTAAAAATCGAACCCAAGCCCGGCCCATCACGCTAAAAGCCCGCCGGACCTACCAAAGCCCGGTGCAAAAAACCCAGGCCTGAGCCTGGCCCGACACGGCTGTCGGGCCTAAAAATCGGGCCTGAGCCCGGCCCATCACCTAACAACCCGCTAGGGCTCTTCCTTAAAAGCGAATACAACGGGCCCGACCGTCGAGCTCAAAATTTAGGTCCAGGGCTGGCCTGTGGGCAAGGTCGGGTCGAGCCGTCCAGGCCCAGTTGCCCATGGCCAGGACTAGTTGTTCGTAATGCTAGCTAGCTTAATAGATTTGAGGGTTTTTTTTTGACAAATGTTATTGATAACAATACTAACTTTTTTCGGTTTAAAAGGCCTATATCAATAGTTTTTTTAGTGGTACCTATATCAATAGTAGTTTGACCAATGTAACACTAGTTATAAATCACAAGAAAAAATATAATTAAGAAGATCAAATGTTATAATAACTTCCATAACAAACTGTTTGAATTACATTGATCGATCCCTCAAAAAAAAAGAATTACATTGATCGAATTGTCTAATACCCATCCTTTTGGCCCGCTTGTCTTTCGTGGCATTCCAACGAAGTCGGCGTAGTCACTGGATGTCGGCGTAATCGACGGCGCCGTACGGCTGGAACCACTCGGCGAGGAGCCCCTGCCCCTTCACCCTCTTCCTCCTCGGGTCGCACCCCATGTCGCGGCACAGCTCGTCGTTGTACCACACGTTGACGGCGCCGAGGCACGGCCTCCACGGGCGCTGCCCCTCACCGCCGCCGCCGCTCCTCCGCGCGTAGTACCGGCCCCACTCCACGCAGCTCTCCTCCATCCGCCGCACGCCCGGCAGCCGGAACGCGCCGTCCAGCAGCCGCGCCACCCACTTGGCCGTCATCTCGCTCGCGTACATGTTGTTCAGCCCCTCCGCGTGCCCCACCACCGCCATCTGCGGGATCCGCGGGTGCACGGACTCCCGGTACAGCGGCACGGCCGTGTCCGAGTTCGACGATCCGGCGATGATGTCCTTCACCCGTGGCGACGCGAACATGTTTTTCAGCTTCTCGTCGCCGCGGAAGCCCGTGGCCAGGACCACCACGTCGGCCGGCACGACGCGCTTCTCGGCGCCGGCGCCGTCGAGCACCAGGCCGTCGTGGCAGAAGCCGAAGGACCTGGACCTCGCGAAGACGACGCTGCCTTCCTTCACCTTGTAGTAGAACCCGTCGGGGAGCATGGAGATGAGGCACGACGACACGCACCGCGCGAACCCGTGCCCGGGCTCCATGCCGTGCTCCCGCATCGGGATCGCCCTCCGGTAGTACGCCCCCGTCGCCGCCGATATCGCCCACGCGAGCGGCGCCAGCAGCGCGGCGAGGAGGCGGGAGGCGGCGCCGGCGCCGGGACGGGGGACCATGAGCTCGGCGAAGCGGTTCATGTAGAGGTACCCGATGCTGACCCCGCCCCACACTTCCGCGCGGTGCAGCAGCCACTGAGGGTTCCGGCACACCATCGTGCACGGCGTCGCCGCACCGTTGGCCTCTGCGCAGTCGGCGGCGATCTCGAAGGCCGACTTGCCGGACCCCACGACGGCGACGCGCTTCCCCTTGACCAGCGCGGCGGCGTCCGCGTCGGCCATGTCGGAGAGCTCCATGGAGTGGAGCACCCGCCCGCGGAACGCCTCCGGGCCTGGGAACGCCGCCGGGATGTTGGGCACGCCGCTGAAGCTGCCGATGCAGAGTATCAGGAAGTCGAACTCGTGCACCTCCTGCGTCTCCGGCTCCTGCTCGCCGGCGCCGCGGTGGCCCACGGTGAGGCGCCACGCGCCCGAGCCGTTGCCGAAGGCCTCGCCGTTGCCGTTCCACCTCTCCCACCCGTCCGCCGCGCCCTCCGGCTCCGCACCGACGTACTCCGCGGCGACGACCCGGCTCCGGAATCTGACGCAGCAGTCGACGCCGAAGCGGCGCGCGTAGGCGGCGAGGTAGTCGACGACCTGGTCGTGGCGGGGGAACGCGCCCGCGGAGTCCGGCCAGGGGAAGTCCGAGTAGCGGTAGGCGGCGGTGGGCGACTGGAGCCTGGTGGAGGCGAGCGTGCGCGTCCACAGCCCGCCCACGGACTCCCCTGCCTCGAACACCACCGGCCGGAACCCGCGCGCCAGCAGGAGCTTGCACGCCGCCAGCCCGCTCGTGCCGGCGCCGACGATCGCCACCCGCTTCGCCCTGTGCTCCATCGTCGACGCTAGGCGGCTTAGCTGTTTCTTGGATCGACACACTGACACAGCTGCTGATATATTAGTTTTTTGGGCGGGGTGGCCGCGCTGGTAATATTATTTGTGTCGGGTGGCCTGCTTCACATGCAGCATTTTATAATCGGATGAATTTGGAGAAGGTCTGGGCTGCTTGCTGGTCTGACGTCAGTGAGCTCGTGGATATAGCAGACTAACAGCAAGAATAAAATGCGTTTTTAGATGGCAATCTGGAAGGATGCGTACATGTATCAACCGCCGCTAGGGTTTGTTCATCCAAGTTACCGCATCATGTTCGGAAGCTTGATAAGTCTTGGACGCCGATAACTATCACACGTGTGGTATATTCGACATACGTCCACACACCGTGTGTGGTGTGAGCAGGAGGCAGCCCACACGAGATGTGTGTGGGCGGACATTAAAATTGCCCACACGTGTGGGCGCGGCTACTTCATGCCACACGCCTAACAAGTACTATTCATCTCCACCATGCGCGTGTGGCACGAAGCAAAAAATGCCCACACGTCCTAGCACAACTACGTTAGGTACCCTGCGGGATGACGATTTAGTTGCCATCCTGGTTGGCAGATGTAGTTATTCAGGATGGTAAGTGTAGTTGTAAAAGTATGGCAACTCTATCTGTTTGATTAACTATGGTTGCCATGTCTAATTTATGTGTAGTTGCCGCGTGTAATCAAACCGTAGTTGTTGTGTGTGATTAACTACTTGCCACATATGGTCAAACAGTAGTTGCCATGGGTGTTTACCTAGTTGCCACGTGTGGTCCAATCATAGTTGTCATGTATTGTTAATCACAGTTGCCATGTGTGTTTATCTGGTTGCCACGTACGCGCAATTGCAGTTGCCGTCTAGCAAAGAATCACAGTTGCCATGTGTATTTACCTAGTTGCCACGTTCGCGTAACTGCAGTTGCCATCCACAACGTAGGAGTATCGTGTGGACGAAAAGTAGTTTGCCCACACGCGCATGACCTAGGTGGTGGCTGTGTGGGCAGAAATTAGTTCACCCACACAGCAACTGGCAAACAGCATGGTGCGGGCATGTGGGCAAACTCTCCAACGCCCACACAACAGCCCTGTCCTGCGTGGCACATCAAATCCACCTTTTCGTGTCAGGATTCGTGCAAAAGACATCGAACGACGATCCAGACATGTGGGCGAGTTGGGTAACGCCCACACGTGTGGGCGTTAGTGTTTCCGTAAATCTTTGTATGCTCTCGAGCAATCTCCTAGAGCCAGTGGGGAAGCTAGCATTTGACAAGCAGGTGGTGCGTGAAAATTGTAGGATGACCGAATATTTCTTATTATAAATAAAGCAACGAATCAAAGTACACGGCAAAATGATATAATATGGCGTGAAGGCCCATTACAAAGCAAATCAAAAGATAGAACATGATCCTAGAGCAAGCCTAACACCTCTCCGAGGTCCGAACAGAGACCCCCTGAGCTCTTTGACAATGCCCCCAAGAGGGTGACGGCGCGAAGTATCGCCGCTGCCGAGTCTGAGAATAGACAAAAGTTTTCACGATGAGCCCTCGAACTAGGACGAGATCCACAACGCCGTCTTCAAGAAACAAGCTACACCCACGGGCGTCGCCGTCGGCGGCGCCAGAGGCACGAAGCATTCACTCGGACACTCGCCCGCATCACCAAGAGGAGTCTCGGCCACCACCTCAATGAAGGCCAACTTTTCCACCCCGAATTTGGGCACTGCTAGAGCAGGCCTGAGCCTCCCGCCACTACACCCCTAGTCACCCACACGACCAATAGATGGAGCCACCACCGCCACAACGAAGCCTGCCGGAAACCAATCGTGAAGCCTGTCGTCCGAGGCTGCCGCCCCGGCATCAATTTCCCTGGGCACCGCCGACCATCCACTTCATGACCACCCGACCATAGTAGTAAGAGTGAAAGGGACCACCTTTCACTCCTAGCCCGGCATCAGCCACCGGGTTTGGGTCGGCACCTCCACAATAGGAGGCTCCCACGCATGTGTCCCCAGCCGGTCCCGGTGGGCCAGGGGGAACCTAGTGACTACCGACGGCCACCGCCGAGCACGCTCGAACGCCACCATGTCCATGGTCATTGGCGCAGATTTGTATGACGACACAATAACGCCCGGAGAGCTACCCTCGGACTGACGCCACACAGGCACCAAGCAAGAAGGGCACAACGCGGACCAAGTGTAAGTGCATCTAGTGCCCCCTAAGTGGTTTTGGAGTGTTGAATACAAATGGGTTAAGGGACTAATATGTTTGTGAGTGTACACAAGAGATATAGTCCCTCAAGATTTGGTTTAACCGAAGAAAGACGACCCCTAAAAAATGTATTTCTTCAAGTGAACAATTTGGTGCGGCCTTTGAAGAAATTGAAGTGAAGAATTGGAAGCGTGAAGACTTTTATTTTCGCTGTTTCTTTCTTCTTATTTGAGTCATAGGAAAAACCGCACTGTTAAAAGGGGTCTAGGTGATACATATATCGTATTTTCCATGCTCAAAACTATTTATATCCTACCGCTTCGAATGAAGCCTTTGGAAATCTCTGGCAGTGCTAACGAATTTGCTAGTGACAGAGACACGGTTCTTCTGGTTGCTGATTAATTTGGTCAGACTGAGGAGTTAGGAGTTCATCAATGCGATCTGCCTACCGTGAGGAAATTAAGTGCCCAGGAGAATTTGAGAGTTCGATTTTTCTGACTGTTGCTGCGCCACGTGCCAGACTGTCGAGTGGATTCTTATCCTGACAAAGGTCATGTCTTAATGGGCATTTATGAAAATTCATGGTTGGTTGCCCCGTGGCTATAAAGAGCCGCCCCCTACAACCACTTGTTGGTTGACTACTCTGGAGAGAACTTGACATTTGTCATTTGAGAGCAACCCTTCCTCTGACGACTTTGTTAGAAACCCAAATGAAGAAAAACTCAACCATAGCCAAAGTGACTGAGCATTACTGAAAAGTTTGATCTGTGTGATCGGACGCCTGTTACCTTTGAAGACTATCATTCTTCTAGATGTTTAGACGTCATGTTCTGAGCACCCAAGAGTAATTATGGTGTGCCGGTGAACAAGTATGTGAAAGTTTTGGAAGTCTACCTTGAAGACTTACCTTGGTCGAGGTCTGTTGTGACCTTAGCTCAAGAGGAATATGGTGAAGACTTAGTTTCTTCAGCGCTCATCTCAGTCGCCTCAACCAGACGTATAGTTGATACAACAACTGGAACTGATCTACAAAATTGTTGTGTCTTCACCGAGCCTACCTGATTTCAAATTCCTCACCCTTTACTTTAAGTTATTCCATTTTTGAAGAATCTGTGATCAACTTTCTGGAATTTCATTATGTTGTTCTTCATTTTTCCAGTTCATCTTTCTCATGTTTGAATGCTTGTAGGATTACATGTTCTTCACTTGTATGTATATTGTATGCATGCTCTAAGTTTCTGTGATGAATTAGTCTCGTCCTCGTTTCTATTTCTTCACTCTGATCTTCGTCAAACTCATCAGAGTTTGACGAATTTTTAAAAATCTCCCATTCAACACCCCTCAGGAGTAAATCTACGCTTTCAATTGGTATCAGAGCAAGATACTCCCTTATTTTGTGTGATTTTGGTTTAACCCCTGCAAAGCCACATCCCCGGTTTGTATCCGGTTTGTGGGAGAAAGTGCGTCTGAACCGTTCGGCGGACCGATACAATCCCGCGTTGTTGGATGGCACAACACGTCCGGGTCCCGCACTCCGGACTTATGTGGGCGGTTTGAGGGTCGGCGTTGGATACCCTTACAGGGCATCAGGTAGATTGATGTAGTGGAACAAAAAACATGGTCCGAGAGTGGAGATTTTAGTGGGACGGGGGTGTGAGAGTCCTACGTGGCAGAGGTCCGAACTCCCGTAAAACTCCCTCCAGTTTGTGGTCGGTTAATTCAGACGTGTGGATGTCTCTGTGGACGTTTGCAACACCGCATTGAATGGCAAAAAATATTCGAATGCGTGAGTTCGAACATTTGCGAGCGATTTAAGAGACAAGCATTGGAGGTGCCCTAGAATAATACACGAGAGGTATGGTTCACAGGAGATAATCGGGGTCGGGGCTCATTCGCTCGGAAACTGGCCCACCAAACGGTATGTAGGGTTTTTTCAGGGGTTTGGTGATAGACGGGATAATCCCCAAAATATTTTGTTTTTCTACTCTCTTAAGCCACTAGCACCAAACTAGGTCTCATCGTGTTCTCCAATGCAGAATAGACAGGCTCAACCAATAATCGACGATCTACGAGCAGTTTTCAATGTTTTCGTTGCTAGGTCCAGTACATGGAGCTCACTGAACAAGCAGACACTCTCGATTGAGTGTACAAGGCATTAGCAAACACGGCGGCCAAAAATCATACTGGGTATATATGGTCGCAGTCCTTGCTAGGTGGTCTTGGTTTTCTTTATTATTATTTGTAATCACTTTCCTTATAAGATTACTGAACATTTTTTCTAACGTACTCAAGCATTTTTTTTTGTAGTCATTACATTTTTTAATGGAGTTTTAGACATAAAATAATTTTTTGATTTGTACGGAAATGTTTTTCTTAATTATTGTGAACATTTTTTATTTAGGATAAATGAACACTTTTGCAAATAGTATAAACAGAAACATAAAAAAATAGATAAAGCATTTTTATTTGACATGCAAAAGAGTGCGGTGTGTCATATTTATTGGAATTATTATTTTTTGTAGGGAACTAACAAAGATATTTTTCGGAAAAGTTGAAATGATTTTTTATTTTATTTTTGACGGGTTGAAATGATTTTTATTAACACTTTTTAGAAGGCGTAAGTGGTAAAAGGCCGTGCCAATGGGAGGCTGACAGCCCATTCACTTTTCCTTCGGAACTCGTGCTTGACAGAATCATTTCATCTAACGATTGGGACAAAATGGGCCTAAGGCGAGTGGGTGTACTGCTCTCTTCTCTGGGGAGCAAT